TATGTAGTACATATAGCATAAAGGTAATTATATACATACCTTAAAATAACTTTGTGCATGAAACAAAGTTGTAACTGTGTTTTGACTACATCCTATCACGTCAGATATGGAATTTTCTATTTTGCATAATGTCAGTGCTCAAAAAGTTTGAAATTTTGGAGCATTTTGAATTTTGTATTTTTGGATAAGGGATACTCAGCCTATACCTTAAATTGCAGTAAAAAACAATTAAAGTGACTGGCAAGATGATTCACACCTGTAATCTCAGCACTTTGGGAAGCCAAGGATTGCTTGAGACCAAGAGTTTGAAACCATCCTGAGCAATATACATATAAAAAAAAAAATAAGAAGACCTTATCTCTTAGGAGGGGGAATAAAGCAATTAAAGCAAATATATCCTAGCCTAGAACTGTTGACACCTCTCATTTAGGCTTTTTAAGTATTTCTTGGGTTTTTATGGTTTTATTCATTTTCCTTACCATTGCTGCCAGTCATTTCAAGAGATCCTTCAAACTGCTCTTAAGTGTAGAGTAGTATTGACCTTTCTACTCATTGTAGGAATGGAGTTATAACCAAGCTACAGCATACTCCAAAAGTTTCAGTCGCCCAGTCTAGGGCTTCAAAAAAGTTTTAAACTTATCAAGTGAACATGGCTTTTCTAAGTACTGTTTGTGTGAAGAGACTATAGAAAAGACTGGTGTATACTACAATGTAAATACATTAACTGAAAAGCAAAAAGAAGAAAGAAAGAAAGAAAAGTCTCTATAAGTGCACAGAGGGGAAAAAACAGACATGGCATTCAGCTCAGATAGTCTTAACTCTGAGTTTGAAGGATCTCATAATGATAGCAGGTAATTGCAACTTGTTCTTCCACCTTGCTTCCTCACTTCAGACATACCTGGTTCTCATGTTTTAACATTTCTGAAGTTTGAATGCGGCTTATATATTTATTGTGGCAGTGTTCCCATGTTCCCCATACCTATTTAAATTGTGTGTTTTACAATAATTTTGTCTTTGAATCTTGTGTCTAAGTGATTTTTTAGAGCAAAATATGTTTTCAAAGTGCTTCATAGAAAGCTTTATTTAGAGCAGTATTTTTTTTCAAATTATTTTCTCCATAATATCAGTTCTTATATAAATGTTCTTCAAGGAGGAAGGGGAGACTCACTAGTCAAATACTTTTGGAAAATGCATCTTACATTTACAGCTTCATAATGGTCAAAAGTACTTTAAACTCTGAGAACGCCCATGGTTGAAAAACAAAAAACATCTAACTCTTTTATTTATTTATTTATTTTTGAGTTGAGATCTCACTCTGTCACCCAGTCTGGAAGGCAGTGGGATGATCACAGTTCACCGCAGTCACAACCTTCTGAGATCAAGTGGTCCTTCCACTTTAGCCTCCCTAGTAGCTGGGACTGTAAGTGTATGCCACCACACCCAACTAATTTTTTGGTAGCGATGAGGTCTTGCTATGTTGCCTAGGCTGGTTTTGAACTCCTGGGCTCAAGTAATCCTCTTGTCTAAGCCTCCCAAAGTACTGGGATTATAGGCATGAGCCAACGTGCCCAACCTACAACAAGTCTTTAACCCTTCTACCCAAGATTTTCCTAAGTCATCTGGCTCCCACATCATTTTTTTTTTTTTTGAGTTGGAGTCTCACTCGGTCGCCCAGACTGGAGTGCAGTGGCCGCTCCCGGCCACCGCAGGCTCACCTGCTGGTCTCCAGCAATCCTTCCACCTCAGCCTTCTGAGTAGCCAGAATGACAGGCATGCGCTACCACTCCCGACTGATTTTTTTATTTATTGTAGAGATGAGGTCTCACTGCCCAGGCGGATCTCGAACCCGCGGGCTCAGGCAATCCACTCACCTCAGCCTCCCAAAGGTGCGGGATTACAGCCACCGAGCCCAGCTCCCACATCATTTTTTGTTAACGCTTGCATTTTTGGAAATACTGCTATGTGTAGTTGATTAATATGAGTATCAGAATAAAATGTTTTTATCAGGTTGCTTTAAATATTTGCCTGTTATAAATAGAAAGGATTAATATTGTTATGTATCTGTGTATCTAGTTATCCTGAGAATCATTTCAAAGGCATAGTTCACTGGACTAGGTTGTCAGCTCAGTCAGACATGGTGTGTTTTTTTGTTGTTGTTGTTGTTGTTTTGTTTTGTTTTGTTTTTTTTGAGTTGGAGTCTCACTCTGTTGCCCAGTCTGGAGTGCAGTATCATGCTGCTGGCCACCACAGCCTCGACCTGCTGGGCTCAGGTGATTCTCCCGCCTCAGCCTTCCAAGTAGCTAGTACCACAGGCATGTGCTACCATGCCCAGCTACTAAGTTTTTGATTTATTGTAGAGATGAGGTCTCGCCGTGTTGCCCAGGTTGGTCTCAAACCCCTGGGCTCAGGCAATCCTCTTGTCTGTCCCTCCCAAAGTGCTGGGATTACAGGCATACACCACCACGCCTGACAAGACATGGCATTTTTTAAACTGCCTTCAACAGTACATCAACTCTGCACTGCTCAGTCAGTACTAACCCTTGGTTCCCCTCATAGATTTGTGCATCAGTCCGTTTGCTGAACTTCAGGGTGATGTATTTAAGCAACAGAATTCTTGATGTAATGTATTACAGGTTTTCAGCTCTGGCACTACAGTTTTATTCTGGAACTTATTCCAGTTATTTTTCCTTTAAAAACAGCTATTACCAATTTAAATATATTGGTAAAATGTAGGTACTGCTGGATTTTCATCTTGTGTTGTGGTCCTGTGTTTATTGTAGGCTGTTTCTAGTAAGTCCTTTAGGGAGCCATAGAGCTGGGATAAATCTCTCTCTTCCCTGTCTTCTGCTGGGGAGAGGAGGTGAGGTGATTCCTACAAATGAACATGAACTCTGCTTCTTCAAAATAAGAAACATCTTTGCCCAGGAGTAATAGAAGCTATAACATGTTAAGCAGACATGTTCTTCAGCATATTCAGTAAGCATTTATTAAATACCTACTTTGTACCAGATGACTCTGCTAAGCATACAGGGTTTAAAAGTGAGATGCAGCCGGGCTCAGTGGCTCAGCCTGTAATCCTGCACCTTTGGGAGACTGAGGTGAGCGGATTGCCTGAACCCACGGGTTCGAGACCCGCCTGGGCAACTTGGCGAGACTTTATCTCTACAATAAATCAAAAAATCAGCCGGTCGTGGTAGCACGCGCCTGTAGTTCCAGCTACTCAGAAGGCTGAGGCGGAAGGATCGCTGGAGCCCAGTAGGTCGAGGATGCAGTGGCCGGGCCACTGCACTCCAGTCTGGGCGACAGAGTGAGACTCCAACTCAAAAAAAAAAAAAGCGAGATGCAAACAATCTTTGCTACCCTCAAAGAATTCAATCTAATTGGCAAGACAACAATTGTGTCAGTGATAACTCTTCATAATGCATTGTGCTTAATGTTACAAGAAATAGATATAGGAGGGGATATCTGACTCAGATACTGAGCTTTGGAGAAGGAATTAGAAAGTCTGAACCTGGAGGATAAGTAGTAGCACTTGGTCATGTAGGCAAGGGGGTGAAGGATATTGCTGACTGAAGAGACAGCTTGTGTAAAAGGCAAGGGCGGTGAAAGATAAGGTATTTGGAGACTGCGGGTAGCTTGGCTTTGTATAGGATATCCAAGATAGCAGGATAGGGAATGAGACCAGAAAGGAAGGAAAGTGATGAGACCAGAAAGGAAGGAAAGAGCCCAGTGGTTCATGGCCATATTATTGTGTTAGGCAGAATTTAGAAGACTATCAAATAGATGGTTCTTAATCTGTGATTTAGCACTTTTCATATGATCAGTTAGTTAATGAAATTCAATACTGAATAAACTGCAAAAATCCTTAAGTTTAATTGTGCATTTCCAGATGATAGCCATCACTTCATGTTTATAGTATCATTTTGATGATTCATGGGCCTGATCATTTAATAAGTTACCCCCAAACACATTTCTATTCTTAAAAATCAGTTTTATTGAGGCATAATTTACTTACAACATCAATTTTATGTGTACAATACAGCGAATTTTGGCAAATATATACAGTTTAGTAACCACCACTCCTTCCCCATTAGCTTGTAATCAGTTTGGTGAACTAAATAAATTAATGATTTGAACTCTGGAAGATGTAACACAGTATCTGAAGAATAGAGAAAAGAGAAATAAAAAAACCATCAACCTTAAAACCAGAAAACAATTTTTTTTCTATAAAACCTACACATAGAAAAGCTTTGTACAAGTAATACTTTCAGAGGTTTTGTCTCTTGAAATCTTTGGTAGGAAAAGGAGGAGGTAAGAGGCAACAGTAAGAAATTATCTACAAGGTGACTGGTGAGATGTCATGAAAAGATGTTGGGAGATGGAGGAAAAAACAACCATCAAGAAGACAAAACAAAAATGTTAAATATTGAAATGGGAACCTCAGACAGTAGCAAATACCTCTGGTTCTTAGTAGCAGAGTTGTTGGCAATTTCACTTGTCTGAGGTCTTGATTTTCTTACCCATAAAATGAAGGATTTAATGACATATTCTAAACTGTATTAGGCAGAACTTGAGAATTTTGTGAGGTGTGATTAGGGGCAATACGTTGGGGACAGGAGAAATTATATGATACAAGCTCTATTAGAAATTTGGAAATAGTTAGCATTAGATTTGATACCAACAGATAGGAAAAAAGTACATTTTCTCCCCTCAATTGTACTTCCGTATATTCAGCTGACCTTTTATTGACTGTTGCTATAGAACTGGAAAGTAGGATACTTTTTGAAACAGTTCTATTCATAATTCTGTCTTGCAATTGTGATTCATTATAAGCAGGGATGAGTTTCTCCAGGGTATTGAATATTATCGTTAAACCACCAGATTTTGTTTCCCAGAAGTTATTACTTTTAAGAATAAAATATATGTTTAGATATGGAAGGCAGAAAGTTTTATATTTTGAAACAATTATTTTATCCATGTTATTTGTTTGTTTTAACCAGTTACCCATGGGTGTATTGTTTCCACAATAAAACTTTTTCTACCAGATGGTATGGAAGCCCGACTCCGCTCAGAGTGAGTATAATTTAGTGCTGTGAAGTTTTTGGATTAATTATTTTGATTACTAATAGTCTAGATGATGGCATACACTAAATACAGTACTTCAAAATTCTTTTAATGTGTAATGTTAGAAAACTGATGTAGTACTTCGTTGGAATATAATACATTTAAATTGTTTTTCACATTAGTTGCAAATCTAGCAAATAATGTATCAGAGGCAGAGGTTATTTTCTTTCCAAATTTAACTTTGCAATTTATATTTTGATGAATAGTTCTTAACAGTGTTTGGAGTTTGTAAGTTATTAGTAAGTGATAACTCCATTCCTTTTGATCTTCATTTAATATAGGACTTCTTAGACTGTGATTGCCTCTGAAGTTAATGCCAGTGTCACAATCTTACAGGACCTTGAGAATGTCAATACAGTTAGTTAGTAGCTTATTTTGGTGGGAGTTTTTTGAGTTTTTTTCCCAATGTCATGTTTATTTTTTTGTATAGAGTAGTGTAAAGGTCACTTAGAGTGTAAAGATACTTGAAAGGGAGAAATGACTCATAAAATCTATACATGTATACAAAATGTATACATAAGTACATTTTGGCTTTGCGCTTTTCAGAGATTATCATTATGAAGTATCATTAAAGGGAGTTGAGCAATTTTTAAACTTCAACATTTTTTATTTTGGAGGAAATCTTTGAGTATGCTAGAAGCTTCTTTCTATAGCCAACATAATATCTTCTGTCCTTCAAAATCAGAGAATGATCTGAGATGGGAGGTTAAGAGAAGCAGTAAATTGAAGGAAAAATAGCACAGTGAATAGGAAAGAGAGAGGGAGAGATTAAGCAGAGAGAAGGCCCCTCTCATAACTTGTGGTAGTCTGTACTTTCATTAGAATCATATTTTATGCTTCAGTCAGAAGTCACTTTTTTTTTAGTTTTAAGAATATCTGAAGCAAAGCAGAAATTTTAAAGCATTTTAAATTTAAAACAATCTGTTTCCTATTTTCAATTACAGTTATTAAAATTGTAATAAACTTTAGGAATGTTAATGTAACTTGGCTTTTAAGGGTCAAGAGTTAAGGTTTTAGAACTAAGAATAGCTATTAATCAACTGATGATATATTGCTTCTTAAAGACCTTGATGTTTGTTTTTGATAATGAGATTTTTCTTTCATGGAGTTAAAAGCTTGGAGCAGTTACATAAGGAATCATCTGTGTGCCCAGGTTCCATCAAGTAGAGGATGTGAATTTTTTCAGTCTCATTCATTCAGTGAATTGTATCCCCATCCCTCTTGTTTCTCCAGTTCTTTTCACCTTTATCCCTCTTTCTTTCTCTTTCTCTCTCTTTTCTTTTCCTTCTCCCTCCCTCCCTCCCTTCCTTCCTTCTTTCTTGTTGGAATCTCACTCTGTTGGAAGTGCAGTGGCATGATCATGGGTCACCACAGCCTTGACTCCTGGGCTCGGATGATCCTTATGCTTCAGCCTCTCAAGTAGCTGGAACTACAGGTGCCTTCCACCATGCCTGGCTAATTTAAAAAACTTTTTTTTTGTAGAGACAGAGTCTCGCTACATTGCCTAGGCTGGTCTCAAACTCCTGAGCTCAAGCAATTCTCTCACCTTAGCCTCCCAAAGTACTAGGATTACAGACATGAGCCATTGTTCCCAGCCTGATTTTTCTTATGTGGTTAAATATTAACATTTAAATTTTTTCTGTCAATTTAATTATACATAATCTGACTGACTTTCTGAAGAAGATAGATTTTGAATAGGAAATTCTCTAGAGCTGGAGGAAGATCAGAATGTTCTTTAGACGTGGGTAGTCCACTTTAAAGCCTGACTCCACTTCTTCTGTGACTTGATCAGGCCATACTTTTCTCATTTGAAATCTGAAGATAATTGTACCTACCGAGCAGGAATTTCAAGAGGACTAAACAAGATATAAAGAGTATAGTATAGGGCCTGGCATGTGATAAGCACATGATAAACATGAACTATTTCTGTTATTGTAATCTAATTTTTGTAAAAGCAACTAAGATACTTTTGGATATGCTAAAATGCCTAGATAAGGTCCATTGTGTACATAGCATTTAAGTACTTTTAAGATCTTCAGTGGGTGATTCTCAAAAAGCTGATTCTTTTTCTTTTTTGATTTTTATTATATTACGCAAATAATTTTCTAATGATAGTAAACAAATTGCCTATAATCCCACTACCCTAGCATTAGATAACTATTTTCATTTTCTATGTTTCCTTGTTCTGGTTTTTATACACACATGAACTTTTTAATACTTCAAACAAAATACTAGAGGGGGCTCAAAAAACCCTGGAATTTATAAGTAGAAAATTGTGTATTTATTCTTGCATGTTTAAATTTTAGTCACCTTCAAAGTACTCTCCATTTGATAGCAGTGCACCTATCAAGATGCTTTTTCCACCGCTCAAAAGTTTTTGAACTAGTCAATTTGGATGCTTTTTAGTGCTTCTACCGTTTTTTGTTTCACCTCTTCCAACATCAACAAAACGTTTCCCTTTGAGGACTTTTTTCATCTGATGAAACAAAGTCATTCCGGGTGAGATCAGATGAATAGGAAGGGTACTACTGACTGAATGGAGGTCATGCTGTTTTGGGTCAAAAACTGCTGAACACTAAATGTGGTGTGGGCAGGTTGTTTGTGTAAATCATTCATCATGAAATAGGCAAACACATTGAAAGAGTTTCCAAAAAAAATTCTTGGAAGCCAAACACAGCCTCTCACAACAATGCTAGCTGGTATACTGATGCTGATGGATTTCTAAAACACTTACCTAGCGGAAGAAGCCTGTACTGCAAGGGTCCCACTCTCCAAAAGATAATTCCAGTTTTTGGGGGGTCACCTCTTGTATTCCTATGTCCAAAGTAGTTTTTGTAAAATACAAGTGTATGTTACTTATGGAATGTATCGCTGGATCTTTAGCCTTTTGTTTGTTGAGATTTTCATGAAAACAGAAGATTTTGTACTTGGGTCACTAAGAAAGCTGGATTTTTTAAATTTGTTTTTTAAATCTCCACTAACGCAATTTGTTTCCATTATACTTCCTTAAGTTCATTTCCCTACATGTGCATACTTGCAGAGAAAAAGGATATATGCCCAAAATGGTTATATCTGGGTGCTGGCAATGGGCAATTTTCACTTATTTCCTCATGACTTACTTCACACATTTTCCATAATTAATATATATTACTTATATAGTAAACAAAAATAAACAAATGTTTAAAATGTCTATTCCAGTGTCATGGAGTAGAGAAGAAAAATTAAAGTTACATATAATTTTTTTTTTTTTTTTTTTTTTTTTTGAGTTGGAGTCTCACTCTGTCGCCCAGACTGGAGTGCAGTGCCACTCCCGGCCACCGCAGCCTCGACCTGCTGGGCTCCGGCGATCCTTCCGCCTCAGTCTTCCAAGTTGCCGGAATTACAGGCATGCGCTACCACGCCCGGCTGATTTTTTGATTTATTGTAGAGATGAGGTCTCGCTGCCCAGGCGGGTCTCGAACCCATGGGCTCAGGCAATCCACTCACCCCAGCCTCCCAAAGGTGCGGGATTACAGGCTGAGCCACCGAACCTGGCTTATATATAATTTTTTAAAAACCTTTATTAGGCACCAACTTCATTTGGAACATATAATCAAAGTAGTACGATAAAGGATTGTATAGGCTCAGTGAAGTCTATACAGGATATCATGGGTGCCCAGAAGGGAGATGAGTGCTGGTACTTAATATTTCTTTTTATTCAATACTTTAATGTATTTGTGACTAGTTAGATTAGAGCAGTTCTTAGAGTGTTTGTAATTAGGGTGGGATCAGAATTATTCCTATTTTTAAGTTGTACCTGATCAGTTTCTCGGCAGCTTGCACATGATTAACCAGTTGAATTAAGGAACTTTACCCAGTCAGCCTTCAAGCTGGCCATTTCTAGAGTGGCCTCTAGGCTGTGAAGTGATTAATAACTGGTAGGGAACATGGGTCCCTCTATTCACTTCCAACACACATATAGTATCTTACAGGGCATTGTAAAAATAGGTATCTTAGCTTCCTTAGCTGCTCAGTTCTCATGGGAGTGGTAGTAGTGATTGAGTGCTTCTTACGTCCTAGGCACTGTTTTAAGTGCTTCATTCATATGAACACAATAGCCCTATGAGATTGGTTTTATGATTATTTTCACTTTATGGATGAGGAAACTGAGACTTATATTGATTAGACAGTTTGCTTTTCAGCTGCGAAGTAGCTGGAATTTGGACACAGTATAGTTTCTAAGCCTGTATGCTTAGCTGCCATGCTACCTTTCTGTCAGTAGTACTTTTTCAGGTCAAAAGCCAATTACTACCAATTAATGTGGTCTATTTAATGTTTTGTTTTAAAGTGATATACTGAGTTCAGTTTCAGATACACATCTAAGCTTTCAGTTAGCTTCTGTGGTAACTGGATGGAGAACAGTAATTATTATTGTTTGGATTAGTTGTCTTCACTGGAACAAGTTTCTAAATTATACACTTTATTTCCAGAACATTGCTTTTTAAGACTTTCTGTATAAGAATGCTTAATTTTAAAAGAACTTAATTTACACAGCCCAAAATTGAAAGCAGATAATTTTTAAAAGAGTACTGCTTTTCTGTATAGAAATTCTTAAAATCAAGAAATTTACCACAGCCTACAGTAAATAGTGGATCCTCAGAGGGCATTTAATACATTGTGGATCTGGAATTTGGTTTTAGAAATATACCAGTGTGTAAAAGATAAGTTTATATTTTTGTCACTTTGTTTCTGAAAAGCTGTATGCATTTATAAAGGATTAAAAAATAATTCACATTCTTTTAATTATATGAAGGCAAATGTATCAACCTTGTGGTTTAAGATATTCTGGTGCTCTCATACCCTGCTTCCTCTGTTGTCAGGATATAGATAAAAATTCTAAATTTTACTTTTCAGTGTCATCCATGCTCCATTACCAAGTCCTGTTGACAAAGTAAGTTACTAATGATTATTTTTTCTAAACCAACTCAGATATCTTGCTTTGAAAATGTTTGTGTTTAATGTTCTTAAACTAGAAACTTTCTCTTATGTATCAAAATATATAAAGTACATATAGCTATATAGTTATTGTAACCTTCTGAACTTCAATATCTGGAAAATCTAGGATAGATCTTTCTTTGGGGAAAGCTTTTGATGTCTCAAGTAAATTGTTGACTGTGTAGACTAGGAGTTCCTGTTTTGTGTCTAGTCAGAGGTAAGATGTGTTAGCTATTACTTTTTATTCTGAGATACAGTTCTGTTTAGAAATTTGTTAATGTGGATGGTTGAGTTTCTTAGTGCAGTAACTAAACTATTGGGAAATATTTTACATTTTTTCTTCCATTTGAATGAAGAGTGGAAGACTGCTTGAAGTAGAAATTCTGTTAGATTCTTTTTTTAAAAGTAAAAGTAATTAAACATCAACTTCTGCAATACCAGGAATTATTTCAGAAGTAAATAATGGTTTTGCTGATTTAGAATTAATTTTTAAAAATATTGCAGACTCTCTGCCTTCTAGTCAGCATAATTTTTGTTTTTTGAGTTGGAGTCTCACTATGTCACCCAGACTGGAGTGCAGTGGCCACTCCCGGCCACCGCATCCTCAACCTGCTGGGCTACGGCAATCCTTCCGCCTCAGCCTTCCAAGTAGCTGGAACTACAGGTGCGTGCTACCACACCCGGCTGATTTTTGATTTATTGTAGAGATGAGGTCTCGCCAAGTTGCCCAGGCGGGTCTCGAACCCACGGGCTCAGGCAATCCACTCACCTCAGCCTCCCAAAGCGCGGGATTATAGGCTGAGCCACCGAGCCCAGCTTAGTCAGCATATTAATAAAAATATAATTTCTGAGCTTGATAAGGTATGGTGTTATAGCATAATTAATAAGATAACACATAGGAATAAATGTTATAGCACCCCTATAACCCTCCTCCTCTTCCTCCCCGCCCCGTTCCATTCTTCTCCTCTTTCTTCCTCTTCCCTCCTTCCCCTTTCTCCTCTTCTTTCTCCCACTTCCTTCTCCTCCTTCGATCTCCTCCCCTTCTTTCAGAATAATGCCGTAGTTCTATATTCCACAGCCTTGAAAAAACCCTTATAGAAGACATTTCTTCTAACAGTCTTGAGTTCTAAGCAGCTTGACTGTGATTTGGAATGTTTAAACACCACTATCTTCCATCGTAATAAAGTTAAAATGGAGATTTTAAATAAAATTAAACCTGGGAAGATTTTGGTACCTCTGTTTTCATAGCCTCTAGCCATTGGACAAAGTATTGTATTTCATGTTTCCTCACTCCCCTACACGTACAAATGCTGTTTTGAAGATGGCTACTTCTAATCAGTGTGACTTGTTGACTTATTGAAGAACTATTTAGTGATGAATTTTAAATGGAAAATATGTGGATCTGTTGGTTTAGAAGGTTTTATTTCTGGGTTAACAAAAGGCCTTGGCCGGGCTCGGTGTCTCAGCCTGCAATCCCACGCCTTGGGAGGCCGAGGTGTGTGAATTGCCTGAGCCCGCAGGTTCGAGACCCACCTGGACAACTTGGTGAGACCTCATCTATACAATAAATCAAATAATTAGCCGGGCATGGTAGTGCGCGCCTGTAGTTCCAGCTACTTGGAAGGCTGAGGCGGA